CAGCGCGAGGGCATCGACAAGAGGCTAGTCACTCACGTGCGCGCGACGTGCGCTCCTGAGCGTCTTTCATATTAATGGGGATGCACCAACCAAAACGGGCGCTTTCTGGAGAAAAAAAAGGGAGCACCTACAAAGAGTAAGCTCAAAGCGAGAAAAAACAATGTTTCGAGATTAGCGCCAAGGCGAGCTTAATTCTCTACCGTTATTTTACGTCTACTTGGGTTAGGAACTTAGGACCATTGTTGTTAAATGGCTGCAGGGGCGTAGACAACGGGGGGATGAGGGGGATGCATCCCCCCCCCCCAGGTTTTGGGGAATGATATTTGCTTACTTAATAAGTCATAATGATGATAATAATAGTAATAATAATAATGATAACAATTATAATATTAATAATAATAAAAATGATGATGATGATAATAATAATCCTCATCATTATTGTAATTGTGTTTATTGTTAGCCGCATTCACACGGTGAAAGCCAATTCTAAAACAGAATAGAAAATGAATGTGATACAACAGTATACATAATAATTCGTGACAGAGAGTACCATACTACTATCTTTATAACAAGTATTATTCAAACAAACATATATAATTATGTATAATCATGAATTGTTCAACTTCATGCTCCCACTATATGACTATTGTTACACTAATACTGATATCAGGACTGACTGGTATACATTAGTTTGTTGTTAAGCTTGCAGCAGCTACATCTTTTCTGTATTGTTAACTATTTATTTATTTTTGTTTTATTTAAGATGCACTTTGTTTTGTATTCATTTAAAGTATGTTGATTGATGCATGAAGACATAAGTTTGAAATGTTTAAAGAAGTTTGTTTCATGTAAAGCGCAGTGTGAATTTACCCTGTCTTGAAATGCGAGATAAAAGGAACATATTAGTATTAGCATTATTATTTGTATTAGTATTATTTTTTATTATTATTATTATTATTATTATTATTATTATTATTATTATTATTATTATTATTATTATTATTATTATTATTATTATTATTATTATTATTATTATTATTATTATTATTATTATCAAATAGAAGTAAATAATGCCAATTGTGTGTGTGTGCGTGCACGCTTGTGTGTGTTATTTTACCTCATTAAGTATGCATCAGATTGCACGATTTCAAGTTCAAAATTGCAAAAGCTCCCTACCGTGGGAGGGGGGACACCCCCTCCCACACCCTCCCCCCGCTCGGTCGCTTCGCTCCCTCACTAGCGTTGGCAGCCCAGTCATCCCCCCAGGTGTACGAACCTGTCTACGCCACTGAATGGCTGTGAAACCGTGTAGTGAGTCACAATGGGGTAATGGTCAGATATGTCCGAAAGAATAATGTAAGAATCAAAATGTGCAATAACATTAACAAAAATATTATCTATAAAAGTAGCAGATGTATTTGCATCACGAGTTGGCTTTGAAATAAGTGGCAAGAAAGAAGTAGAAAAAAATTGCTTGAGAAATTCTTGAGAAACATTGCTATGTAAGTGCTTTAACAGTCTATATTCATCAAAGTCTCCCATCAAAAAAAAAATCGTTATTGGCGTTCATTTGTAATAAGTCAGATAAATACAATAAAACTTCTGGCGCGTTCGAACTTGGGCCTTGGGGGTCAATATATCACGCCGACGATTATATTCTAATTACCGGGAATCACGATCTCAATAAAAAGGGATTCAATAATATTATTGCATGCTGAGAGATAAGAACAGTATAATTCAATGTTATAAAGCAATGCCACCGCCTAGTCTTTCTTACCTATTTTTATGAATAAAAATCGTAGTTATATATCAATAGAGTATTAGTGGTTGGAATGAGAAGTTAACCAGGTTTCTGTAAGACCAATTAGGGATAATGAGTTTGGCGAGGGCTTATTAAGCGAAAGTAGATCATCGAAGTGCCTTTTCAAATGAAGCAAGGAGAAAGTATCATTATGAAGTTCTTTCACAACATTACGAAACTGATGAAACAGTTACATATTTAGAAAAGTTGCGTTAAGCAGGATCATCAATATCAAAGTCAAATTCTAGTTCTTCAAGTGAAGAGTTGATATTGTCCATAACAGAATTATCAAACTAATTGGCAGGGTCGTTTTTTATCCTCAAGTCGAATGAGTCAACCCCCCCCCCCCCCTTAGCAAAAAAGCTGTATCCGCCCCTGTACGTGATCAAACGTTCACTCGCCATTTCAGATCAAATCAATGCTAAAAAAACAGACAAAAGAAAGTAGAGAGGGGAAGCACAGCTAGAAAAAGAGGATGAGGGAGAGTAGGAGCAGGCGCGGATCCAGGGGGGCCGAGCGGGCATTGCCCCCCCCCCCGCATCACATGAAGCTTTCCTTCTTTCACATTTCTTCTACTTTTACCTATTAAGGCTGACCCCCCCCCCCCCCCTGCCTACGCGCCTGCCGCCAACAACCGTGGATCGGGGGGCGAAAGGCCCTTGCCTCCCCCTGCAAACCTAAAAGAGAGAGAAGGAAGGGGAAGGAAAGGAAAAGAGGAGAGAAAGAGAAGAAAAACAGATAAAAAAGAAAGGTAGGGGAGATCAGTTACGACTTTCCCCGCCAACAAGGTGTAGATCGGGGGGGGGGCACTGGCGTACTGATGGGGGAGAGGGGGCTTAGGGGTGACAGATGCCCCCCCCCCAAATATAATTCAAACGTGGTTTATTTATAATTCCACATAGGGCCCTAAGGCGGGCATCTGGATGCTCATCTGACAGTAATTGGATGCCTTGAACCCCTGAGCTTCTGGGGGCTCCGCCCCCTGGACCTCACATCAATAAGTGACCTGCCAGTGCCACAAAATAAGGTATGAAAATATGCTCATCTGACCGTAATTAAATGCCTAAAACCCCTTGACTTCTGGTGGCTCTGCCCCCTGGACCCCACCTAGGGCCCTAAGATGGACCCCTTGATGCTAATCTTACGGTAATTTAATTTTTAAAACCCCTTAGCTTCTGGGGTCTCCGCCCCCAGGACCTTACACCAATTAGTGTCCCGCAAGTGTCACAAATAAGATATCAAAATATGTTCATCTGACCGTAATTAAATTCCTAAAACCTCTGAGATTCTGTGGGCTTAGCCCCGTGGACCCCACGCTAATTAGTGACCTGCCAGTGTCACAAATATGGTATCAAAATATGCTTATTTGACCGTAATTTATTGCCCCAAACCCCTGACTTCCGGCCGGGGCTCCGCCCCTGGACCCCACGCCAATTCATGACCTGTCAGTGTCGCAAATAAGGTATCAAAATATGCTCATCTGGCGGTAATTTAATGTATAAAACCCCTGAGCTTCTTGAGGCTCCTCACCCTGAACTCCATCAGGGGCCCTAAGGCGAGCCCCTGGATGCTCATCTGACCGTAATTTATTGCCTAAAACCCCTGAGCTCTAGGGGCTCCACCCCTGTACCCAAGCCAATAAGTAATCTTCAGGTGTTATAAATAAGGTATCAAAAATGCTCATATGACCTTAATTAAAAGCCTATACCCCCTGGCTCCACCCCTTGACCCCCACAGGGGCTTTGCCCCCAGACCCCATGCCAACTTACGCGACGTTCTACCTGATCGTAAATACCTACCCCCCCCCCCCCACCTACTTGGAGAAACGTTCAGCGGGGCCTGCATGTAAGAATGGGGTGGTGTGGATTTTTTTTGTCAACCCCCCCCCCCCCCCCCCCCCCCCCCCTGCGTAGGCGCCTGCCGCCAACAACCGTGGATCGGGGGCAAAAGGCCCTTGCCTCTCCCTGCAAACCTAAAAGAGAGAGAAGGAAGGGGAAGGAAATGAAAAGAGGAGAGAAAGGGAAAGAAAAAAAAAGAAGAAGAAAGGTAGAAGAGATCAGTTGCCAACAAAGTGTAGATGGGGGGAGCACTGGCGTACTGATCGGGGCGGGGGCTCGGGGGAAATAAAATCAAACGTAATTCCACAATGGTGGTTTACACATAATGCTGAAATGACATAATTATTCGAGATTTTTAGTATATTATACTTTTTTATGCATTTGTTGTAAAATGACGAATTCCTAAATTTACAGCCAAGCAAAAAATATGCTTCTTGAGATGCCTACATGTCAGGGCCTGCGGAACGGCGGGGATCAGGAGCCTCGAGATCCCTCCTCCCCCTTCCACTTTCTTTGAAAAAGTATAAATAGAAAGAAAGAGAGCAAGAAAAAAAAAATTGTCACAACAAAATAAGGCATCAAAAAATGCTCATCTAACCATAATTAAACGCCTAAAACCCCTGTGCTTCCGGGGGGTCCGCCCCGCTGGACTTCACGCCAATCAGTGTCCTGCCAGTGTCACAAATAAGGTATAAAAATATGTTCATCAGACCGTAATCAAATGCCTAAAACCCCTGAGCTTCCGGGGCTCTGGCCCCTGGACCCCGCCTAGGGCCCTAAGCAGGCACGTAGCCAGAGTGTGATGTTTTTTTTTTTTTTTTGGGGGGGGGGGGGGGGGGGGGGCACATACATGTAACCGATCCTGGAGATTTTTTGGGGCGGACAAGGTATCAAAATATGTTCATGTGACCGCAGGCGCGTAGCCAGGGGGCGGTGGGGCGGCCCCCCCCCCCCCCCCCCCAAAAAAAAAAAAAACCGCCGGCGAATAAAAGAGAGGAGAGAAAAGGAAGAGGACGTAGGAAGAAAAAGGAGCAGACAAAAAACATTTTTGAAATTCAGACAAGGATTATTTTCGAGAACGGTACAAGGATTATTTTCGAGAACGTACGGTTCAACGAATCCTCTTGTTTCTCTAATAATTGAGATTACAAAGCTTCCACGCTTCGCGCAGGAGGTGGCGGAACTGAATTTAGACAAGGAATGTCAATTCTAAGACGCATGTCATCATAAGACCTTATCACTCTTTTAATTTGAGTTATAGCAGGGAGATAAGAGCTCTCATCTCCCTGGTTATAGGTTATAGGGGGTAAAATAAATCTCACGATACAAAAATCTATACAGTACCAAGCGTTAGAGGGCGGCATTTACCTATGTGGAAATTGATCGACCGACTAATAAAAGTCTTGACTCTAAAAAACACTCAATTGGCATCGTCAAGAAACCTGCCACTCTTCTATTAATCTTACGTAAGTAACATCATGATCGACTGAAGCTAACTCCGTATTTCAGATCGTTGGATAGGATTATCTCATGTAGATATATATCATATGGTTAAGGTTTGCGATGTGTTGTGTCGTGGATATCGAGTGAGACTGTTGCCCCACCTATTGATTTATTTGTGAGCACATAATAAGCATCGAGACGGTGATAACTAAATTATTGATTCACTCCTACAAATGTCAATTCATGAGGTCTAAGCACTCCTACAAATGTCTAAGCACTCCTACAAATGTCTAAGCACTCCTACAATGTGTGAGATCTAACCATAAATGGTATTGACCTCATACGCGCATTATGGGATTTATTATTGTTGGAAGAAACTTGGAACACTTGCTTCTAAATTAAATATGACGCTCCAAAAAATCTTTCCGTAGCGTTGGCGATGCATTGCCAGAAATAGTATGGGCGCTGGTCCGACAATAAGGATCGTCCGCATAAACGAGGATATCGTCATAAACGTGGACAAATAACGTCCTAAAAATAAGGATCTTCCTCATTTTTCATGGACGATCCATATTGATGCTCCACGCTTTGGCTCTGCAAAAAACAGAAAAACCGCGATGATGCTCCACGATGCATTTCTCATTGACGCAGCACAGAGACTTTCAAATTATGAACAATAAATCCTCGGGAAGACGGACAACCCGTAAAAGTAGACAGTGAACTGGGAATATTTTATTACACGGAATCCATTCTTCACATTGCCAGCACGCTGATCTGAATCCCTACACCCGCAGAGCGCCGAAGCGCCGGACAATTCTTATTTTTTAGGACGCAATTTTTCCACGTTTACTAAGATATCCTCAGTTATGTGGACAATCCTCATTCTCAGACAAATGCCACTATTGATAATAATTATCCATAAATGACCGTAAAATATAAATCATTTCTGTAATTTCCATGCATTTAAAACTCAAAATACCCATTATGGTTAGACTTCATGTATGGTAGGAGTGAAATTGGTAGGAGTGAAAAATGAAATTGGAAATCTATTGTCAATCCTGGCAAACAGCCACTTCGTATCCATTGTACATTTCTTGTTTTAATTGTTCATCTTATTGATGACTAATTCCAAGACAAATTCTCAAATTATGCATAATTGAAATGTTATTGAGAAACTATCAACAAGTTGAATACCAGTAGTCAACAAAAAAATGAATTCACAGAGGTCGGACGGGTTACCAAAATATCAGATTTTTAGGAATTTGTTTTGATCAGTGGTGTTTGATGTGAATAACTAGCAGTAGCAAATGTGTGTGACAGTGACTTTTCACCATTTCTTTTCATCATTTTATATCATTCCCTTCATGATTCCAATCTTGCCTTGACAGGTTCTTCGACAGGGAGAGCTCAATTTTTAATCAAGCAACTGTACATTTTGAAGTGGTAAACTATTACGACGTTCCCGAGATCAGAATCATCAGCAGAGGCCATGAGAAGAAACAGGAAACAATTCCTGGGGCTACATTATGAATGAGAATGACAGAGGCGGAAATGAAGAAGTAGAAATCAACGGTAGTGAGGATCCCACTAGCAGTCTCCTGGAAGACGCTCCAACTGAAGCCAACGGCAACCCAACCACCCACCACTCGGTAACTAATCCTCGGCCTACCACCATGTCCAAAGTGGCTTCTCTCCTGCACGTCTTTCTGGTGCTGGTGCTGAGAGTGGTCTTCCGCTTCTGGAAGGTGTGCATTGCGGAACTCCTGCTCGTAATCCTGGTCTTTTGGCTGTATGGAGGGGTCTTTGTCTTCTTCCTCATGGTGGCAGCTCTTGTCAGTAAGTCTAGGCCCGCAAGTTAATTTCCTTTTTAAAGGTATCGTTTAACAATGTTAAATATGAGATGCACGGCTCTATGTGTTATCAGTGTCTGTGATATGGTGTAAAATTGAAGCCCTATACAAAATTGTGCTTCAAAATGATCAAGAAGTGCCTCTAAAAAGTAAAAATCTTTGAGTGACTGGTTTACCATACTCGTTTTCCCCAATAGACTGTACTCGTTTAACAATGTTAAATATGAGATGCACGGCTTTATGTGTTATCAGTGTCTGTGATATGGTGTAAAATTGAAGCCCTATACAAAATTGTGCTTCAAAATGATCAAGAAGTGCCTCTAAAAAGTAAAAATCTTTGAGTGACCGGTTTACCATACTCATTTTCCCCAATAGACTGTAGTGTTATCAAAACCGTTAGGAAAACACAAAATTTGGTTTCAATTCCCAATCATAAATATCTTGTAAAAGTCATGGGTTCCTGACTGACCTTAGTATCATTGTAGCATGAGCTAAATCCAGGATTTTGTTTCAGAAGCTGAGACAAAGTTATCAATCCCTTTAAGATACATGTACATTTAGTACCACTTTCAAGTTTTGCACAATGCTTGATTCTATGAAAAGTTTCTTTCACGAGAAGATCTTGGTATTTTGGCAAAAAAACCTTTATAATTTTGTATCCTCTTCTACAGTATGTGGTCACAATCACGGGTGTAATCATATATTTTCTCTGACATGTGTTCACACAAATAAAAAACATTAACGTGAGTTCGGGAAAATCACATTTCTTTTCAGGAAAAAATGTTATGAGGATGTATGGAGGTAGAAACATCTAGTTTTATTAGTTCTTAATTTGTGGCATCTTTTTTATGGATTTATCATTTTAATGAGTTACTTGACTCCAAGTCGTCTGGAAGTGTCCAAGGTCATTAGGCCTTTAGAGTCACCATTTTTAGAGCAAAAAGCTCTCCTATCCTATTGTTTCCTCAATTGTATTACTTATGTTTTTACTCTTTTATTGTATTTTAGTTATGGTAATATAGGTCATGATAAAGAGACGAAGAATTTTTAAGTTGGCAAACTAATAAACTTTCCCAAGATTGAGGTAGGAATTCGATGCACATACCATAAGTTTTTTTTTTTAAAGATGTGCGTAACTTTATACTTACCAATAACAAACAACTTTCCTTGCCTTTACAGCTCTGGTCTACAATATGCAAGATTTCCTGCTCTACTTCCCCGACAACCCCAAGATGTCAACAGTCTTCGTTCCTTCGGCAGCCATCTTGGACCTTCCATATGAGAACCTGATGATAAAGACTTCGGACTGGGTCAAAATTAGTGCAGTTTTACTCAAACAGCCTCCAGATAGAGCAGCAAGGTCACCTACAATTGTATTACTTCATGGCAATGCTGGAAACTTGGGGCATAGGTAATGCTTAGTTTGTTTTTATTTTGTTTTGGGATGTTTGTTTGTTTGTTTCAATGAGCTCTGCAGTTCGGGATGCAGGATAGGTCATTTAGAAGGAAGTTTGGCTAAGAATTTGGTGCTCTAATACACCATTGAAAATCAAAACTTTTTTCTTTTTTTTCTCCGATTTCACTCTAAACAAACATGTATATTTGTCACTTTAAAAACAAATCTGCCTTTTATAACATTCTAGAAAAGATAAAATGTGCAACACAACTAATTTTGTTACAAATGTCCTTAAATTGTCTTTTTTTTTTATAAGGTTATATTTAGCTGCATTATTGATCTCCAAAGAGTTTTTATTTTCCTTTATGAGTTTCTTGTACGGGTAATATCTTGAAACTCACATTTCTGCAATGACCATAATAGCTCTTTGTTTATACTTTTTAAGGTACAAAATTTTCAGACCAGTCCAATCAAAATTTCTGATCAGGCATAGAATGAAAGGGGAAATTTGTATATACTTTTGTGTTTGTAGACAAAAGGAGGCTTACAAATAGAACACATCGTTTTTTTGTTTTTCTTAAACTACTGTGTGCTTGAATGGATACTTTTCCTTGTTCTCTTTTTTGACAGATTATACAATGCTAAGATGCTGTATACTGTAAGCCATTGTAATGTGCTTTTACTGGACTACAGAGGGTACGGAAGAAGTGAAGGAACCCCGTCGGAATCAGGTAGGATTGCATGATAGGGACTGTGTAATCAACATATTATGGAAAAACCAGGGCCCCATCTTATAAAGAGTTGCGATTGAATCAGATCAGATCAATCAGTTTGCAGTCCCCTATCTTGTATGTACATTGCAATTGATTATCAATTGCAAAAAGTTGCAATTAATCACAAGTTTTTATGAGACGGACCTCTAACTTTTTTTTTGCGAACTGTTAAGGACAGCCATTTTCATGTAGGAAGAAACTTTATAACAGTGTTGTTTGGTGAGATTCGGTTAGTTCGGGGCACTTTTAAGAGTCCGAGCCACAATTTGTTGGGCACCTTCAGATCCTTGTATGCAATCCAGAATAGATACATGCAGTATTTAACCAACAGGACAGGCTTTTTTCAAATGGAGGTTGCAATTTCACAAAAATAACTTTGATATGAACTTGATCTCTATTAGTTCATTTCCTTTTCTCACTTATCGACAGTACATAATAATAATAATAATAATAAAAAACGTTGCTTGTAAAGCGCTTACCACTGAAGTCTCTAAGCGCTATAACAAACAAAATTACAATTACATATTAAACAAAACAAAAAAGTGCAAATAAACCTGCAAATTACAATACATATGAAATACATATGAAATACACATCAATGTGAACATGTAAAAGTATATATTTATGAGTACTGGTATGTGCTTATAATATATGTTTAGTTGTTTTTATATTTTTAGGAATGGAAATAAACTTGAAACAAGATCTTTAATATCTTTTTTTGTGGTCAGGTCTATACACAGATGCTCAATCAACACTGGACTACCTCCATACGAGACGAGACATCGACCCGACACAACTCTTCGTCTTTGGTCGATCGCTAGGGGGCGCCGTTGCAATCCATATAGCAGCGCAGAAGATGAACAACGGAAGGTTAAAGGGGCTGATCATAGAGAATACCTTCACCTCGATACAAGAAATGGGCAGTCATTTGTTTTCGGGGGCAGTGAACTGGGTTCCTCTGTGTTTAGTCAAGAATAAGGTGGGTTATTGAAGTACCCTATCACTGACACAGCCGGTTTGAATTGGCCCAAATTTCCATATTGCTTCTAATGTTGTTTTTAATTTGTTTTTAAATGGTTAACTTAGGTTATATTGCTTAAAGACATGGGGGAGGAGGAAGTTGTATAAGTACATGTATATGGATAGATTCTGTAAAACCCCTTTCAAAGTGCTCGAAAAAAGCAACTGTTAACTCGGACTCGGTCCCTCTGCATGTACCCACGATGGCCCGTTGAGCTTAAAATGCAATCATTTGCAAAGACTACACACAAGTAGGTCAGATGCAACTCTTTTTTGAAAGGGTAAGGGGGGTTGGGGGTCTTTTTTTTAATTTAAGAAGGGGATGAAACAAGGACTATGTTCATGTTTTGATAATGTCCACAGTGTCAGGTGAACAAAAATACTAAGTCTGGATGCAGTACACTTATCATTCTTCAGGCTTCGCACTTAATATAAAGAACAGAGATATTGGCATGACCACATCAGGAATACAGTCATTTTTAGACCCCTAAATTTCAGAGTATTGGTGAAAATATTCCTCTTTTTAATGTTCCCACATGGCTACATGTTAGATTGAGCTCCATCCTCTTGGATAAGGATGTTTTCAATGATTTTCACACAATTATAATTGTTACAGTCATGATTAGTGTATGACAACTATGCTAATTGCTTTCTTTCCAGTTTTTATCAAATAGGAAAGTATCATCCATTCATGCTCCAACCTTGTTTTTAGCTGGTACTGCAGATGAGCTGGTACCACCGAAGATGATGAAAGATTTATTTATGGTAAGGAATCTAATCAATCTTTGTCCATTGGAACCTTGAGCCTTGAATATTGACATAGTAATCCCTTTCAGTAGCTCCTAGAAGCTATCCCGGGATGATGATCTGGGGGGTATTTCACAAAGATTCTAAGTTAAACTTATCTTTAATTTGGACTCACAAAAATATGGAAAGCCGTTAGAATCTTTGAAAATATTTTGTAAAAGTTATTTTAAAAGGCATAAGATGCTGATTCAAATCAATCATATTTTCTATTATCAAGGACATTTCATGTTCTTGATGTGGAACTTATGAAAAGTCCAAAATACAAGATTATTTGCTTTTGAATATATTTTTAAGGCTACAAATGGCTCTCCATAATGTTTAAGTTTGACTTAGGATCTTTGTGAAACTCCCCGCAGCTGTGATAAAGATTAATTTCTCTTATCCCCAGGGAGTGGAGATTGTGCACATAGTGTGTGCGGTCAAGCACTGAATCCAATGATTGGGGTAATAGTATATTTTGTAAAGCGCTTAGAGACATTTGTATTAAGCGCTATATAAAAATTAAATATTATTATTTATTATTATTAACAATATTCATAGATATTTATGATGTTTGATTGCTACATTTCCTCCTCTTAAAGTTTAAATTTGGTATAGAATAACTTTAAGGAGTCTGTGCAACTTGCATATTTATTTCAAGCAGTGTACAAACTAATCATTGAGTATAATGCCTCTCAATATCCTACAACTTGTTGAAGAGCAGTCGTATGTAGCCATTATGGACAGTCGTTAAATCGCAAGTTGATCGATTTTAGTGATTTACTAATCAAACATGCATTGATTTAGATTTGTCAAGGACTTGCAATCAATGAGAGCCGACTTCATTGAGATTAGTAAAGACTGAATACGTGTCCCCAGTCCTCATAATTCCTGTTTTTATAACTCAACATTGTTTGTCACTTTATTACAGAGATGCAGAGCACCAAAGAAGTCAATGTATTGCTTTACTGGAGGATCTCATAATGAGACATGGCATTGTGAGAACTACTTCCAAACCATCAGGGACTTTTTATGGAAAGTAAGTGGACAATCTAAGTAATCTAGTCTGATCATAAGGCCATTGTGTATGGGCATGCTTGTGTAATGCAAGTTTATTTCATTATTTAATGTTCATTATCTTGTTCTTGTCCGTTATCTGGCCCCAAGTACAAACAGAATACTGCTTCCTAGAGATCCTAACCATTATCTTGTATATTGTCACCAATATTGTTTTTATAAAGGTTGAATAAAGATTTGTTTGACTATCATTGATGGTATAAAATATGTGTAAAGCCATAAAGCTTCTAGGGCAGATGTATGAGGGTAGACAATTTGTTGTATACCGTTTGCACGCATGCATGCCATAAATCTGGAACTCACTTCTAAGGTTTTCATTGATCTATACTGTTTTCATTTATGATGGGAATTTTTCTCTTTAAAGGGATTGGGCCTCTTTGCCTCAGATTCTTAAAACAATCCTGGATTTAGCTCATGCTGCAATCACAATTATAAACCTTTAGGTCAGTCAGGAATCCCATGACTTTTACAAGCCGATTGCCTGTCTGATTATCAAGATATTTATGATCGGAAATTGAAAGTTCAAAAAACATTTTCCAGAACGGCTTTTTTAACGCTACAGGCTATTTGGGGGAAATGAGGTTCTTTTGAGGCACTTTGAACTGCAATTTGTTTAGGGCTTTAATATTATCACAGACACTTTTAATATGTAGGGCAATGCATGCATCTCAGATTTGTAAAACTTGCCTTTAATAAAGGTGAAAATGGATGGTAACTACTAACTACCTAATTCAAGTAGTTTTGTATCAAACAAGAGACATTACCATTTAATCAGAAAGAACAAGTACATTTTTATTCAGCTAAACCCTGTGGGCAATCAAATGGATTTTGTGATACATGTACTTTAATTTTTTGAATTTGTAGAGATTTATTTAGCTCTTGGGTATGGTAATACAATGTCAGGCATTATTTTTCATCACAAGTATTTGCAAATTTGTTATGCCTCCGTTACAAAGTAGCCGGAGGTAGTGGCCCGAATTCACAAAGGAGGTTTGTCGACAAACTGAGGTTTATGTACGTCATATGACACGTTTTGATGCGTTTTTTACAAACCTGGTTTGTAAATAACAAAAGGAGATTTGTCAACAAACCTCGGTTTGTCGACAGACCTCCTTTGTGAATTAGGGCCAGTCTGTTTTTGGGTTGTCCGTCCGACCTTACATCTCAAGAACCGATTGATGGATAATTGCCAAACTTAAATCATGTATGTATCTTGCAGAGCCAATTAATTGATTAGATTTTGAGGTCACGAGGTCAAAGGTCACAGGGCTCATTATGTATGCAAAAACAGCTTATGATCGCATTATCATGAGAACAGATAGACAGATTACCATCAAAATCAAAACATGTATGTATCTTGCAGAGCCAATGAACCAGTAGATTTTAGGGTCATGAGGTCAAAGCTCAAAGGGTCATATATGTATATGAAAAAGCTTGTAATCACAATGTTCTGAGAACCTGTTAATGGATTACAATTATAAAACTTGAATTTTTAAAATTGCTTCTGTTTTGGTTTGTAAAATCGCTCTGTGGCGGAGGCATCATTTTCGACTGCACACAGTCAAAGTTCCATCTAGTTTAATCATTTTTTTTAATTCTTTCTTTTTCGCCTTTCCAAGATCCCTGGCAGTAGAAGAGCAGACAGTAGCTACAACACTCATCCACACTCTAACCACCCTCATCATCATCATCATCAACAACATCATCATCCTTACGTTGGACCAGCAGTCCCTGCTAATGCATCATCGGTAGTGTTCAATGCATGATGAGTGATAGAGATGCTACGATTCATCTAGCTCAGAGTAAAGTATCAGGGAAACTCCAAAGATTATTTTAGCCTGTATCTTTAATCGACAACATCAAAGATTTCAGTGTATCTGATGACTGTATGAAGCAGCCTACTAGAGCTTGAATCAGACAAAAACATGAAATAAAGTGATATTTTTTATGTCAACTGATGTTCTTGATTCTTTATAGCCCTCCTCGAGCTTGAGTGGGGACAGAGCATCAAATAAAGTGATATTTTTATGTCAACTTATGTTCTTGATACTCGCTAGAAAGCTCTACTAGAGCTTGAATGGGACAGAGCATCAAATGAAATGATATTTATATGTCAATAAATGTTCACTATTCCAAATGATAAAATTCTATGATACTTAGTAACGCATGGGACATACATGTAGCTTGGACTAGCCCATCAATAAGCTAGCGACTGTACAGAGTCCAAGCTCAATGTGTGAGCAACGTATTCTGTCTTTAAAGCCCGTCTGGACTAGTTTGGCCAGGGGGGATTAGACCACTCTGCAAGGTCACTGACAGGTGGCTCTCAATTAACATAAGAAAAAGAGGATCATGGGGGACCAACAGGCACCGATTGTGAGTTTTCTATATAGAGGGAACAAGTAGCTACAAGTAGTACAGTGGGGCTTTAAAGCATTTTTGAAAGTGTAATGATGGAACTGATTTGCTCTGTCCATCCAGCTATGATATCTTTATACATTTACCAAGTCCATGAAGAAGGCATGAATTACATTTTGAGAAAGAAATATATGGAGAAAGAAGTTTATGGTGGAGTTACAACGCATTTAAAGCCAACTGGTAGGGTTCAGATTAGGTTTATGGTTCAGCTTTGGTATAGTGTTTTCTTCAGGGTGGAAATCAAGAATTATTTAAAGTTAATACAAAGTTTTGGTGGGGTGATGAATTTGGTTCAAATTAACATATTGGAAGCATATGCAATCCCACAATATTAATTGATCGTTGTCGCGGTTGAAATCGAGTCTAAAGTCAAGACATTAATTAATTAATTTAGCTATGAAACAAAGTTTCTTGACTAAAATCGACTGATTAGCTATTCCCATTTGGAAATTATATATCACAACTACATATTCTGAGATTTTCATGGTCGCAGCTACCATTGTACGGCCATAGGCGCTATTTGAATTTTATCAAAATTTACCGGGAGCACCAGTAAATTTTTATATTCAATTTTTCTCGAAAACAGAAGTGTTTTAGGGGCTAATTTTTTTTTAGCTTATAATACATCCCCAGGGGCATCCAAATATATCAAAATTGTAAAGATTCATTATCCACCCAGTTTTCAAAACTTTGTATTACCTTTAAGTGTATGGTATTGACTGCATAAAATGTGCCACTCCACCTTTGTTTCATAAAATGCCACATCAGAATATTAAACTGAATTGAATATTTGAAGAAAAAAATACAAATTAGCCTGTACATAATTGGAACTTCAGAATGATTAGATGGCATTTGGTGTATTGAGAGTGTGAAAATGGTTTATAACTGTATTATTTGGGTTGCTCTTTCTTAATTTTGATAATCTTATAGATCATTTTCCTAAGGTTATTGTTATAGTATCCTAAAAATTGTTTCCATGACTTTTATTAGAAAAATTGCAATGGAAAATTATGTCTTCACTTTATGCATTTCTTCCTCTTTGTCTCAATTAATCTGAGGGTACTTGAGAAGTATATCCTTTTTTTCTGGTGGTTCGTAAGAAAATTGCTGCTAAAACAAATACCTTTTTTAATTGGCTGCCAATACACAGTATTGTAACCTTGATGCAGTTTCCAGTGTCCAACATGTACCTTCATAATCACATTTTTGTTTTTGATGTTTTTTGTTTACCGGTATTGCTTTTTTTTTTCTTATTTTGTCTGGAGTAATGCATTATACTCGCATTGTATTTTTTATACTTCAAATAATTAAAATCATTCTTCAGGCTGACACATACACATCATTTTCATTTGCCCATATGGCAATCGGATGTTTCGATAAAAAAGGTTTGTAAAAATTGGTTACCCAGCTTTGCAAGATTATACTTCTACCCATAAATGGTAGTACCAAATACCTATATAAATTATATATCAGTTTTCATAGCGCAGCTACTCTATAAATACTCTACTCTTCTGTGCTTTAATACAAAGTATCACATTGCTACCCCATCTGTAACTGAGGCACCAAGATAAGGACCTAAAGCATTCAAGAAATTTCTTCCTCCCAGGCACCCATTTAGTTAACCTGGGTAGAGAGTAGCAAATATAGATTATTGTCTTCCCAAAGGATGTTAGTGCCGCGGCGGGACTCAAACTGCTGACCATGTGATCCACAATCTGGTGATGTACCCACTAGACCATTTATTTATTTATTAGGGATTTTGGGAACCTTGTAATAGTTAAATTCTCGATTAAGAGCGATTTAATTGTGACTAATCATTAAAGTTTCTAAATTGGCAAACACAGTGTAGAGTATAAAATCACCTTTTTCATACACAGCAAATTAAATCTTGCAATTTCCTTTCACATTTGCTCATGTAATAAACATTTTATTCTTTAATTATGAAAGAGTGGAAATTAGATGTTGCCAATTTGAGAGGCAAGTCTGGGGGGGGGGGGTGTTTTATAAAGCTGTGTGTAAAGTTACACGCTTGACTTTACGAATGACTTGAATATGAAGAGCTAAATGAGATTCTCAAATCCTTTAGATTGCATAAGCTAAAGTTGAAATATGCAGATGTCATTATTTTAACCTTACAATTTATTATTTACACAACATTTAACGCAAAGGGTTATTTTGGCTACAATTTAATTGAGATTATGGCAAATACAGTCACATTTTCTTAAAATGTCAGGAAAAACTTTGGGCATCCCATTTGGCTCTTCAAATTCAAAGTCATTCGTAACTTCATGCACAGCTTTATGAAACAATAAGGAAACTCTGAACTGCTTTGCTCATTTCTGATTTATACAAGTAAGTATACATGTGTCTTGATTGGAGAGAAATGTGTTCTACTGATAGATATCAAATATGTAATTGAAAGTACCTTTCGATTATGATATTTAAGGAAACAAATGAATTGAAAAGTTGTCTCAACTTATGCAGTTGAAAGAGTCTAGCTGAAAGTCATTTGTGTTTATTTTGCATGCAGTAAAGGGGCCAATTTATAAGTATCGCTGGCTTAAAGTGGAAATGTTTTGCTTCCACTTTATTAACAAGAACACATATTGCACATACACTGTATGGGATTGTGTTTTTTGTCTGGACTAGGATTCTGAACCAAGACTCAAATATTCCTGTCGTTCTTCATTCAGCTACATGTATCTATGAAATTTATTTTGCAGATCTTTGAAAGTTCTCTTAAACATTCTATGAAACATTTATTGTTTTTATGTGATTGACATGGCTACCCTAAAGTAATAGACCTGTTTACTATTCAACACATTCAAATGTATGGATGTTCCTTCCTGGGGCCCTAGTGACGATTTATTCTATTGACCTTTTATTCATAAATGATCTATGATACTTGGAATCCAGTCAGTGCACATTACTTGTTGCTATGTCAGGCAAGCCTCGACCAAGCATTCAGGTTGTCAAGGACAACCTGTGTTTAAAAATTACACATGAAATTTGAATATGTTAGTGAACTGGTGTATTGCTGGGTCGTCCAATATTGTCTGCTTTGACCTTTGCTCCAGTTGGGTTAAAGGTCGGGTTAAAGGTCGGGTTAAAGGTTATTCTTATGGTTATGTGATGTACAGAGTTTTGTCCATGGATTAAAAGTGGGAATTTGGTTAGTCTATGGTAGCAAATCTTTGTAAAATAAATGTTTGTTGTATGTACATGTACATGTCTCTATAGTTGACAGTAGTTTTGTTCTCAAAATGGAATTAACTTGGCATTACACAGGTCTAAGAAAACATGTAAATATCTTCTTATTTTGTATACTCATTACTCGTAAACTTTTCTTAGCTATGATTTCTATAAGAGAGATTGAATATTGTTGACAAAGTCTAACTAGATTGTAAATGTATGCAATAACAAAATGGTAGAATAAAATTATTTTATTTATTCATAAATATTTCTTGATTTTATTTTTGTCTTTTCTTATCAAAGAGTTGCTGTCTTGGCATGCATTGTTTTAACATATCCCCTTTTTCATGTACAATGTAGGTTACAGTTACCTATGACACGCGCACATAAACCACAGTAGACTGCTTGATACTGAGCACACAGCAATTATTTACACAACATTATCACAAATCTTTTAAACACGGAGTAGTGCTAGCCCTTAAAGGTAGTGTATCCCTCTTGCAGCCAACATCAAATTCTGTAGAACTTTGCAGGAATTATGAATATAAAGTCCTATCTGCGAAATTTAAACGTTAGCAGTGTCCTAGTATTCAAATTATGCAAGGAAACCAGTTTACTTTTACACTTCATTGTTAGATACTATTGATTGACTGGCTGACTTCTTTCTTTCTTTGGTAATAACATACATAAAATGAGCTGTAAAGGGTACATGAGCATTTCCCTACATCAATAACCCACTTGTAATTGCCAAATTAAACTGATTGAATGTTTGCGCAGCCCAAAACGTATGACAATTTGGCATGGTACATGAATAAGGGTCTGAAAATCAGACTATTACTAAAATGATTGCAATCAGTAAAGTCGATTCGACAACTAATGCTCGTTATTTTCCCACTAAAAGACATTTTCAAGCCCTTTTGTTTTGAGGGAAGTTCTAAATTGGTATTATTTTTCAAATACCGTTGGAATTTAACCTTTCATGTTTTTGGCCTGCAAATGGGACATAGTACTAGTGCTGTAACATCACGGATATCTCCAATTCCGTTTAAACGCCAGTCAAAACCGGACGGTTTTCGGTTAAACAATTTTTTTTTGTTTAAATTTAAAAAAACGGGAAAACGAAACCGTCCAATAAAAAACGGAATCCGCCATGGGCAGTCGGATACCGGACGGTTAAACTTTTGACTACAGCACTACATAGTACCTTTAAATGCATATAAAAAGGTGCTTCAGGAATAGCTCTTACAATGTAGTTCCCACACTGAAAGGAACTCCATTACTTTCATGAACACTTATCCTGTTACTTTTCTCTGTGAGCTTTACAATTTTGGTATAAATCACCTTCACTTCCTACATACATGTATATGAACAGATGGATAACTAAAAACTGTTATTATATAGTAATATAGTTACATACAGTGTACCTATGTGTATTACAATATGCACTTTACTTTTTGGCAATGAATCTAATCGATCTATGCAAATGCCTTCAACATTCAGTCATACCGCAGTCACATTGATGAGACCGACAACAGACTGATCAAACTTTACATTACATCCTATGGCAAAGAATCGGTCTGTTTGGCGTCGGTCTGGCGGTGCGACTCGAGTATCAGGCTATAAAACCAGTAAGTTTTATTATGACTATCAATACATAGCAGACAAGTTTATGTACATGTATGCACATTCTAGAATCCGTTGGTTGTCCTACATGTATATGTTTCCAATTTGGATTTGGTTTTGGTTATTTCAACAGTCTATTGAACTAAGCAATATTTCTTTCGAAGAGACTTGCATTATTTGTTAAATTACCATATATGTACATGAACATTCACAAAGTTACAGATAAGATTCAGGATTTTCAAGAATGGAATATAAATGTACAAATGATGGATCATTTGTTTGGTTTCACTTCCCTCAGGCTTCAGTACATTTAATGTATTAGTGCACATGGCTGAGCATTTATTGCCGATAAGACAATACAAACTCATTTAACAGCACTACCAGTCATAAAAAGGTATCAGAGTACTACAATATTCACAATTGTTTTTGCTAGAATAAACAATACTGGTAGTTGTTTGCGCTGGCATTACAAAATAGCGTTCAAAGTTCATACAGGGATTTGTTGATAACTATCTTGATTCAAACCCCTCTTTTATGGAATGTCATGTCATGACTTGTTTGTTTTCTTGAAGATCTTGCCAAGAGTGTTCTTCGACACCTTTCCAGACTTCCTTGGCTTGCTCTTCTCAAACTCATCCTGGGTCACTTTCTGTTTATGAGCACGCACCCTCGCCATCCACTCCTTCCCCTTTTCTCTCTTCTTTTTCTCCATCTTCTCCAACTGATCGCCGAGTTCGACGCTCTTCATGTAATAGTTTGTCTCTCGCTTGGCCTGAGAGATCTCTGTACGGATGCGCTGCTGACGCACCTGGCGCTCGTACTCCAGACGCTCCACCAAGTGACCCCACTGGAAGCGATGCAGGTACTTCAGGTTCCACAGCTCCTCGTAATAAATACTCCGTTTCCTCCCGCCCATTGGCGTGTTGTTGAACGTGAGGGCGATGCTCTTTGCTATTTTTTTATCCATGAATTCAATCCAACCTTCCGTGAAACGCTTGCTCTTGCTACCACCTTTCTTCTTCCGACTTTTGCGGCTGAATTTGTCTGTATTTTAGGAGAAATTGTAAAAGAAAAAAATTGTGCCATTTAATAAATTACAATGATAAACAAGCTTCTATCTTGCCCTGTATTCATGTAATAATGAATTGAAGAAAAAAATTAAACAAAATTACTTAATTTTTGTTTTATAAAAACCAATTACCGTATCCACCATAATAAACCAGAACTTACTACCGGTACATATGTCTGTGCTGTACACACAATGTGTATTGAACATATAAATTACTTGGACATTCTATGACTCTACCTGTGAACTCTTGCATTGACCAAATATGAGTGATGCTTACTCTTCAAACGGGTGATAAGAGGAAACCAAGTAATTACCATCCTGTGAGCTTAACCAGTACTTTGTGCAAGATGATGGAATCCTTCATCAGAGATGTGATAGTTGATATGGATAGGCATGAACTGTACACAGACAATCAATATGGTTTTAGGAAAGGCAGATCTTGCGTCACACAACTACTCAATGTATCTGAAGCTTGGTACAAGGAGCTTGATAGTGGAAGAAGTATTCATTGTATATATCCCGACTACAGTAAAGCATTTGACACTGTCCCACATCAAAGGTTGCTACGGAAAATTGAGTCGTACGGTATCTCAGGTAATCTGTTGAACTGGATCAAGTCCTTTTTAAGTGGAAGATCTCAACAAGTGATGGTTAACAGAATTACATCCACAGAATCTAACGTTATGAGTGGCGTACCGCAGGGGAGTGTGTTAGGGCCCACCCTTTTCCTAATCTACGTGAATGACTTGCCTGACGTTATTCAGTCTAATGAATGTAAAGTTAAGCTCTTTGCGGTCCTGAAATGCGCTATATAAGGACGAACTGTTATTATTATTATTATTACTCTTCAATTGCTAACATCGACGATGGAAAGACACTTCAATCGGAACTAAACAACCTTCTTGTACGGTCTAGAACATGGCAACTCCCTTTCAACATTGAGAAATGCAAAGTCATCCACTATGGAAGAAGTAATCCCTTGTGTGACTACACAATGAATGATGTTAACAAGCCATTACCTGCAGTTCATCATGAAAAGGATCTGGGAGTAATATTTGATGATAAAATGTCCTTTTCAAATCACATTGACACTGCTTGCAATGCTGCAAACCGGAAATTAGGTATCATCAAGCGTACTTTTTCAACTATGGACAACAAGGGACTCACACAGTTATATAAGTCAATTGTGAGACCAGCACTAGAATACTGCTCTCCCGTGTGGCACCCTTATAAGAAGAAACATATTCTCAAAGTGGAAAAAGTTCAACGTCGTGCAACTAAACTCCTTCAACCTCTCAGAAGTCTTCAGTACAAGTTACGCCTAGAGCAACTAAAATTGCCTTCATTATCATACAGACGTCATAGAAGCGACATGCTACAGGTCTATAAGATAATGCATGGAATCAACGACCTCCAGTCAACTAATTTCTTTCATCGTACCACTGTCACAGTAACAAGAGGTCACCAGTTCAAACTACAAAAGAAATATGTAAAATCTAAATTGAGGCAGAGCTCTTTTTCACAGAGAGTAGTAAATGAATGGAATGGTCTCCCATCATATGTAGCAGAAAGTCCATCACTCAATTCTTTCAAATCAAATCTTGACAAGTACTGGTCACTGAAGAAGGACAAGTTAAATCCTGATGAACTATTCAACTGTGCATGTTCATCCGTAACTGCACAACGCCAAATTCAAGAGTAACCCACTAGCAGACACCGAGGGGCAAATAAGTTTTGTATAACTTTATGCCTACTTTAACAAGGTATGATATCCATGAAACACTTACAACTATTCTCTTGAACAATAAAATGCAGATCAGATAAAATACAATGTACCTGTACATGTATGTCACTCAATTCCATGCACATCAACTGTGGCTACCATACATTGTAGTTAGTTTTAGTCAGTGACATTCTGTTTCTCATTTGTTTATAATTGTTCAAAGTCATCTGAGAAGAAAATATGTACTAAATCTCAAATCTCCAGTTCCTCAAGGAATGTTTATAAATCATATGAGTACTGTACATGTATTTTGTTTAAGTAAGGAGATTTATTACTTTACTCACATGTTTTGAATGCTCACTTCATGCTCTAAACATTGATATAAATTTTACATCATTAAAAGATTATCTGGTTGAGCATAGCAAATCTGGTCACATACACTGTAAATGCGCCACCTGCACAGCAAAACCCTCAAGATATCAAGATCTATTAATTACCTTCGGCTTGTAAGAACACACGTCCAACATCGCCATATTGGGAGAATATCCTCTTGATCCTCTGTGGTCTCATCAGTGGGGGTATGCGGCTCAAGTAGACGATCCCTGGTTTGGACGTTTTCTTCATCGTGCCCTCTCCTTTGGATTCCTCGGCTTGCTCAGCTTGCAGCCTTTCAAAGGCAATATCCTCCTCCTGATCATCCTCCTGATCTTCATTGTGATCTTCATCTTCATCTTCATCTTCATCCTCTCCAGAGATGTAATCGTTCAGCTCTTGCGGCATTTCTTCTTCATCTTGGTCCATCATTTTGCACTTGCTCTTGCTGCAGAGAAGAGACAGAAAATTTATGAGCGAATGAAGCAATGACACTAAAATAGAATACAACAATAACATATTCCATGGCTCAGTTGATTTTCAAGTCACCGTCTTATTTCTTTGTCTTTATTATTATATTAGGGTCAAGACTCTAGAATTTCTAGATCTACGATTAAATTTAAAATAAATGTCAAAAAAAAATGTGAAGCCGAAGAGCATGTTTTTTTTAATCACAATGGCCTTATCGTCATCGAAGTCCCCTCTCATTCACAGTGTACACACACATACGATTGCGTGCAAAGTCTATGGAGGTGGATCAAAGTCCCCCGCACACAGACACAATATTATTTATTATTTATTGCCAATAAAGCTAGCTGTGTAGAGAAATGAGAGGGGACACGGATCATGATAATAATGGCAATGCCACCACAATTTTATCACGCATCACTAGTCATCAGATCATAATCAATAAAATTAAAAAGTTAAACTATAAATAGATCTAGAGTAAAGTACCCGGTAATCGGTCAGCTCCGGTTTTCGGCCAATTGGTTGGATACATGGTAAAATCACTTTAAAATACATCGCATAATAGCACAACACATATCCCACACATACCATACCATGCCAGTGTCACTGAAGAACCACATTTGCAATGAAAAATATATCGTAAAATATCACATTTTAGCGATGTAATCGGCGGTCCCGCTACCCAAATCTGAAAAATCGAGTTTCTTACGCGTGTATGTAAGAAATATGGGTACGATAAAATGAGCTTTATTTCAAGTATTTTTCAGATATAGAGCCCGATTTTGTGCTGGTCGCAAGCTCAAAAGTATCTCATCGCATGTATTAAATCAATGCAGCCGCACACCGCGACGCACACACGATATGTCCGTCTAATTCAGATTCCAACTTCCGATCACCGCTGTGCCTGTATTCGGTCAGGCGAGCACCCGGGAGCTCCGGCGTGGGATACCTGCTCCGCCCGCTTGTGCTATACATCAGCGCAGAAACGCACGGCGCGCGCGAGCGCTTCCTATTGACTTTGTACATGCGGCCGTAAACTGAAACGCTCGGCCGATAACCGGCTCCAAAACAGTGAAAATTGAAATGAATATTGTCATGGCAATTCGTGATTTTTTTGGGGGATTCTTTTTTTGTTTAAATAATAATAATATTTGCTTCATGATTTGAACAAGAAATGATAATAAATAGGAAGTAAAGAGTCCATAAATAGGATTTTGTCTTAAGTGGCCGAAAACCGGGTACTTTACTCTATAGCTCTAGAAAAGCTTAGGACTAGAAATCTAAGCGAAAATATTAAATATTAAATATTAAATATTAAATTTCAAATGTCGAACAAAAACAAATTAAAATCAATAAGAGTGAAAGACAACGGCATCATCAGGAAAAAATAGGAAACCATCATCATGACATGACATTGGTATTCGCCCTGCACAAACAGATAATAGCGCTTCATTTTGTCACACACGACAACAACACCATGGCATGGCATTGCCGGGCGTGGGCAATGCAAATGGCAAATGCCAGTCGCAGTCGCCCGGACTACCCCGATGCGCATGCCATAAGGCCAGTGAAGGGGACAGTAGTGGCGCGGCGGCGCGGCTCTAGCTAGCTACGCCTACGGCGCATGTTATCTCCTTCATTGTTTCCAATCCCATATATCGACTATCAAATACATAAGCGTATGCGGCTTAACTTTAGAATACCCCACCAAAACGTAGTATCTCCGTTGGTCGCCAACGCGCCAACGTACCAATTTAGTGTAGATCTAGTCCCTTCCTTTCGTATTCGTGACCAGTTTCTGAATTTGCTAACGCATCAAGTCGAGCATGGAAATATGGTTATTTGCTATGTTTTAACTCCTTCCTATTACCTCTTACACATCAAAGTATTTTATTTATAGATTGTTAAAGATGTTCTCACCTTAGTTGGAATGTTTTACTCTTTATATTGCTTGAAAATCGTCAAAAAGCAATGTAACAACTGTCGGAAAGTATCAGTAAAGAGTGAAAAAAAATCGGAAACTTATGGTGTCCATTAAATGGCAAACAAAGAAAGGAAATAAGGCGCGTTGGCGCGTTGGCACGTTGGCCCGTCCCTCATTGACAAACTGAATTAAAATATGAAATAAGTAGCCTAAAAGTAATGGGGGAAAAAAAATCAGGAACTTGTGGTGTACTTTAAATGGCAAACAAAGAAAGGAAATAAGGCGCGTTGGCGCGTTGGCACGTTGGCCCGTCCCTCATTGCCAAACGAAAATAATATAGGAAATAAGGAGCGTTGGCACGTTGGTCCGTCCGTCATCTGGCCATTGACCGAATAAGGAATATAACATTCACATTTGTCTTTCTAGGCACGATGGGGATTTACAATTTTATTTCTTTAAAAGTACTTGGGGGAGCTGTTTCAAATTAATGCGATATGAAATTAATGATTGAAATGTCACGTTATTAACTTCATGTTTCAGTGTTAGTACGTTGGCATGATGGCGATTTATGATCCATTGTCAGTACGTTGGCACGCCGCTGGTGATTGAAATTTCATTAATAATTAGAAAACAAAGAGGATTTGATTTGTTGTACCATTCTCGACTCTTATTTCTTGTCTGAATTCAGTTTTCCCCCGCCCGCGCGAAGCGCGGAAGCTTTTGCCTTTCATCAATTATTGGAGAAAGAAGACGATTTGATGTACCATTCTTGACTCCTTATTCTTGTCTGAATTCAGTTCCCGCCACTCCCCCCCCCCCCCCCCCCCGCTCTCGCGCGAAGCGCGCAAGCTTTGACCTTTCATTAAATTATTAGAGAAAGAAGACGATTCGTTGTACCATTCTCGACTCTTAATCCTTGTCTGAAGTCAGGTTCCCCCCCTCCTGCGTGAAGCGTGGAAGCTTTGGTGTTTCATTAATCGGTTCCCCCCACCCTCCCCCCCTCCCCCCGCGCAAAGCATGGAAGGTTTTAGCTTTCATTAATTATTAGAGAAAGAAGACGATTTGTTGTATCATACAGACTCTTATTTTATGTCCTAATTCAGTTTCCTCGATCCCCCGCCCCCCCCCCCCCCCCCCCCCCCCCCCCCCCCCCCCCCCCCCCAGGCGCGGATCCAGGAACCCATTTCTATCGGCCCGGCTATGGCAACCCCTTTGTGTAAAAACTAGATAAACTCTGTTTTTCTCAGATAAACTCTGTTTTTCTCAGATAAACTCAGTTTATCAACAGATAAACACAGTTTATCAGAAAAACTCAGTTTATCAGTTGATAAACTGAGTTTATCATTGATAAACACAGTTTTTCTGATAAACTGAGTTTATCTAGTTTTTACACAAAGGGGTTGCCATAGCCGGGCCGATAGAAATGGGTTCCTGGATCCGCGCCTGCCCCCCCCCCCCTCCCCCTCCTGCGCCTCGGACATCTAGGATCGTTGGCAGGCAAAACAATCTCGGCAAAGTTTTGTTCAACACATGCATGTTGGTGAGAGACAACGACCAACGATGTGCTGCTACGCACAGGGTTTGGTGACGTCACACAGTGTGGACATCGTTGGCAGACAACCCAATCCTGGCAAAGTCATCAAAGGAGAGAGGAATGAAGTACAGAACAATAGAAAGAGTCTATAGTCCGAAGACAGATGAGAATTAAAGAGAATTATTATTATTAATATTATCATTATTGATAATATTAAAAAGAAGAATAAGAGAAATGGGAGAAGATGAAGATCGGAGAACAAGTAGGGCCTAGTGGTCGTGGGTAAAACAAATTGAAAACAAAAGAAAGGGGAATAGATCGAGGAATAATACTACAACAATGATAACAATAAGGGTGCGCATGCGCACATGGTAACGTTAGGTGAATGTAAATCGGCAAAGCAGTGAATTGGCTCAATATAGCGTTAAGATTTTTTAATGCCTGATTTATGTCTTAGTTTCAGAGAAAAAAACGTTGGGAGAATTTACTGTTAATCACTGTTAGAGAGTGTTGCACACTGCACAGTGACGCCTTCAAAGAAAACCATAAATATCTTTGTGGTTTAATTGAGAAGATGAAGATCAAAGGAGAAGAAAAAGAAGAAGAAGTGGTCGTGGGTAAAACAAATTGAAAACAAGAAAAGAGGAATAGAGGAATAATATACTATAACCATAATATATCAATAAAATCAATCTACCACAAAAATCTGGGAACAACTTTAGAATACCCCACCATGCGAACTAAAGGTTTTTTTTTGATCCGCCAACCCAACGCTTCAACTTGTTAAAGTAGACCTACTACAACTTGGTGCCGAGATATATATAGTTTTGAATGGAAATCGCAATCGTGCCGCCAACGTGCCAACGAGCCAACATGAGTTGAGAGACTGAATTTATATCGCCAACGTGCCAACGTGCCAACGAGCCAACATGAGTTGAGAGACTTGAATTTATATCGCCTACGTGCCAACGTGCCAACATGAGTTGAGAGACTTGAATTTATATAGCCAACGTGCCAACGTGCCAACGAGCCAACATGAGTTGAGAGACTTGAATTTATATCGCCAACGTGCCAACGTGCCAACATGAGTTGAGAGTTTTGAATTTATATCGCCAACGTGCCAACGTGCCAACGAGCCAACATGAGTTGAGAGACTTGAATTTATATCGCCAACGTGCCAACGTGCCAACGAGCCAACATGAGTTGAGAGTTTTGAATTTATATCGCCAACGTGCCAACGTGCCAACGAGCCAACATGAGTTGAGAGTCTTGAATTTATATCGCCAACGTGCCAACGTGCCAACGAGCCAACATGAGTTGAGAGTCTTGAATTTATATCGCCAACGTGCCAACGTGCCAACGAGCCAACATGAGTTGAGAGACTTGAATTTATATCGCCAACGTGCCAACGTGCCAACATGAGTTGAGAGACTTGAAGATAAATCGCCAACGTGCCAACGTGCCAACGAGCAAACATGAGTTGAGAGACTTGAATTTATATCGCCAACGTGCCAACGTGCCA